CTTCTCTCTCTGTCTCTCTCTGTCTCTCATGAATAAATAAATAAAATCTTTAAAAAAAATAAAATAAAAATAATAATCATTTGGGGGGTGCCTGGGTGACTCAGTCGGGTAAGAGGCTGACTTGATTTCAGCTCAGGTCATGATCTCAGGGTCATGCCATCGAGCCCCACATCAGCCTCTCCACTCAGCACGGAGTCAGCTTGAGATTCTCTCCCTCTGCCCCTCCCCCTACTCATGTACACTCTCCCTCTCTCTCTCTAAAATAAATAAATGAAGCAAATCTTTAAAAAACAATCATCGGGCACCTGGGTGGCTCAGTCTTTAGGCATCTGCCTTCGACTCAGGTCATGATCCCAGGGTCCTGGGATCGAGCCCCCGCCCAGCGAGGAGTCAGCTTCTCCCTCTCCCACTCCCCCTGCTTGTGTTCCCGCCCTCGCTGTCTCTCTCTCTGTCAAATAAATAAATAAAATCTTTAAAAAATAAATAAAAAATAATCATCATCATTTTGGAGGCACCTGGGTGACTCAGGCAGTTGAGCGACTGACTGACTCTTGATTTTGGCTCAGGTCATGAGAGTGAGAGCCTGTGGTCTTAACCACTTTTATAGGCTGCCATGAAGTTAAATGGCTAGTAGTCCTTAAAAGGGAACACCTTTATTGGATCTTACAAGCTACTTAACATGATATGCTTCCTGAACAGTTTAATTCAGCTAGATTATGGATAGAGTGGTAAAGGATTCTCACATTTTCAAGGTTTAAATGGAAGAAATTAGCCTTCTGAAAGGCTACATATAACATTATTAGGCACTGTGAAGGATAGAAAATGCATATAAGGCAAAATTGGTACATCATGATTTGAACAGTCTGGAATCACTGGGTTAGACTTCTACTTTATGTGGATTGAATTAGTGTAGCATGCAAGTCTTAAAGGGAAAATCTGCTGGAAAGAAAGCATCTTCATGCAGCGTTCCCAGAGACTTCTCTAAAAGCTGACAATACTTATTTCAGTAAGTCATCTCTTAAATGAGGTGATGCCTACCTATCTTTTTTACCCAGTTGCGAAGATAAAAATTAAGTGGGAAAGGCAAGTATGGGATATGAGGAACTAAGGGGACTAGGCAAATAATAGTCATCATTACAACTGTATAATGCCTTACAATTTATAAAACAGGGCGCCTGGGTGGCTCAGTTGGTTAAGCGACTGCCTTCGGCTCAGGTCATGATCCTGGAGTCCTGGGATCGAGTTTCGCATCGGGCTCCCTGCTCAGCGGGGAGTCTGCTTCTCCCTCTGACCCTACCCCCTCTTGTGCTCTCTCTCTCTCACTCTCTCTCTCAAATAAATAAAATTTAAAAAAAAATTTATAAAACATTTTCATATCTAATTGTAATAGCTAACATTTGAGTACTTATTATCATCCAGATACTGGGCAAGACACTTTACATACAATATCTCAATTAATATTCAAAACAACCCTGTAAGAAAGGTGGCCTTACAATTTAATGTCCAGATACCTTTGTGAATAAAAGGAGGTACTGTTATGTTGGACCAACAGCCATAAATAAAAACTATCTTGTGAAAAACAGGACGTTATGACACCCTTCCTAGAAGACAGATATTATTGTTATTCCCATTTTATAAATAAGAGAACTGAGGCTTAAGGAGATTGAGTACTTTGCCAAAATTATACGGCCAGTAAGGGTCAGACCCAGGACTTGAACAAAGCTCTTCTGGCATACTCTTACTGCAGTGTTACTACTCAAAGGAACACACAAAGTTTTTCATTTTCTGTTTCTATCTGGCAGTTTAATATATTGAACCAAGATTTGAAAGGATTCCTTGGAGCCATGCCCTTAAATTTATTGAGAAACTGTAATGTATAATTGTTAAAAACTGCCTAGGTCCAAATCCTACCGCCTTTATTTTCTAGCTAAATGACCTTGGGCAAGTTATTTAACTTTATCTGTAAAATGGAAATAATAGGAGATATCTCATAGAGTTGTTCAGAGGGATTGAGTTAGTGCATATTGAAATACATTTAGAAATGTCTATGCACTAGGCTATATGTTCCTCTGGAGCTGCATAAAGTATCTCGAATGGGTATACATTTTAACAGAATCAATTTTCAGATCTTCAACTTCCATATATGTTTTTGCCTAAAATTGATTTGTTATAGAATGTGCCTCACATACAGTTTCTCCTGTCCTACCTCCCTTGGCAATGTCATCCTTCTACCATTTTTCAATTCTTTCATTCTCTGCTGTTTTAGACAAACCAGTCACCCTTTATATGATGCTTTGCCTGGGAATGAGAATACCTCCAGGGTACAAAAGCAAGGGACAATAATGAAATAATGGTGTTGATGTTGAGAAAGCCTTTTGCAGTTCAGGTGACTTCCAGTTCTTTGCATTCAGCATTGGCATCTAGTAGAACATTAAAAATAATTTTTTGCTGAGAGATCACTATGTAATTTTTAGCATATGCCTCTAGATGAGTTCAAAGAATTGACTGTTACTGCTGCAACAAAACATCTTCTATTCCCATCTACTTTTTTAAATTTTAATTCCGGTAGAGTTAACATACAGTGTTAAATTGGTTTCAAGCGTACAATATTCAACCATTCTATATATTACTCCATGCTCATCAAACTAAGTATACTCTTAATCTCCTTCACCTGTTTCACCCATTCCCCCTTCACACCTCCCCTTCAGTAACTTTTTTGTTTTCTATAGTTAAGAGTCTGCTTTTTGGTTTGTCTCTTTTTTTTTCCTTTGTTCGTTTGTTTTGTTTCTTAAATTCCACATATGAGTGAAATCATATGGTGTTTGTCTTTCTCTGTTTGACTTATTTCACTTAGCATTATACTCTCTAGATTCATCCACATTGTTGCAAATGGCAAGATCTCTTTCTTTTTTATGGCTGAATAATACTCTATTTATATATACACACACACACCACATCTTCCTAAAGATGAGCCACCCAGGTGCCCCTGTTTTCAATTTTTAAAGAAGAGTATGTTTGTATAGTTTTTTAAATGGATTATAATGAGTGTCAAATTTCATTTTATCTTAAAATGCCAATATTTACAGTGTGCCTGAAATTACATCTTTTGCAACTATTGAAAATAACAATGAAAAACTTTAGAGCGCCTGGGTGGCTCAGTCGGTTAAGCAGCTGCCTTTGGCTCAGGTCATAATCCCAGGGTCCTGGGATCCAGCCCCATGTTAGCAGGGAGCCTGCTTCTCCCTCTCCCTCTCTGCCTGCTGTTCTCCCAGCTTGTGTTCTCTCTCTCTCTCTCTCAAATAAATAAATAAAATCTTGAAAGAAAGAAAGAAAGAAAGAGAGAGAGAGAAAGAGAAAGAAAGAAAGAAAGAAAGAAAGAAAGAAAGAAAGAAAGAAAGAAAGAAAGAAAGAAA